GACATCTAGAAAGGTTTGATGCAACGCGAGAACTGGACCGACTTGACAAGCACATGGATGACCCTCCCCTCTCTGCTCATGATGGATGGCTTGAAGGCTCTGTGAAAATACGGCTTCCGGCAACAAGAAAGAAATTTAAGACCGAGGAAAAGGCACCCCAATTTGAAATTGGCGGAATTCACTATCGGCGCCTAACCCAGGTCATCGTGTCTGCGTTTCAAGAGCCGCTTGCGAAGAAATTCCATTTTTTCCCATTTAAAATGTTCTGGCGTGCATCCCCAGACTCTCCTCCTGAGCGTGTCATCACAGAGGTGTATAATTCGGACGCATTTTTGGAGGAACACGAAAAGCTCAAATCACAACCACGGGAACCTGGGTGTAACCTTGAAACAGCCATTGCTGCAATCCTCGTGTATTCCGACTCCACGCATCTCGCAAATTTTGGCACGGCATCCCTATGGCCAATCTACATTTACTTCGGAAACCTCTCCAAATACATTTGCGGGATGCCAACTTCCTTCGCAGCTCACCACCTGGCATACATGCCTTCGGTCTGTTCCTATTCTGAATTAAATTCACCTCACTTATAGTTCTCACACAATCAGGTACCAGACTCGATTGGAGATGCATACAAACAAGTTTTCGGAAAGGCACCATCAGCATCAATCTTGACGCACCTCAAGCGAGAACTCATCCATGCCATCTGGGAGCTATTGATGGATGAAGAGTTCATGCATGCTTATGAGCATGGAATCATTATAGAGTGCGCTGATGGAATTCTCAGACGCATCTTCCCTCGATTCTTTACCTATGGTGCCGATTATCCTGAAAAGTAAGTCTTTCTCCTGGCCTTGGACAGAACTCTCATCATCATTCCTGATTAGAGTCCTAATTGCGACAATCAAATCACTCGGTCGATGTCCTTGCCCTCGCTGTTTTGTACGCAAGGATCAGATTGGTGACTTGGGAACTGTGAATGACACAAAGCGCCGTGAGAACATCCGCACTGACAATCAAGAACGTCAAGAAAAGGTTGAAACCGCCCGCAAGGGAATTTTTCAAAAGGGCCGTGCAGTCGCAAGCAAAGTTTTTAATATGCTCCTTGGGATGACATCAATAGTCCCTACGCGCGTGAGTTGTTTCCAGTTTTGCGAGTCAAATCATTAACCTTGGGTTCAGAATGCCTTCTCACGCCGCCTCTCAAAATTTGGTTTCAACTTCCACACAATGCTCGTCCCTGACCTCCTCCATGAATTTGAGCTTGGTGTCTGGAAAGCCGTATTTACACATTTAATTCGCATTTTACAAGCCATATCATCAGATCTGGTACAAACTCTGAATCACCGGTAAGTAACTGCTCCCTAGCCCTTCTTGCCTTCTTGACACATCCCAGATACCGCCAAATACCCACTTTGGAAGGGACACCATACGTCGATTTGCAAATAATACATCAGAGATGAG